TATATATATATATATACATATATACTTTAATCAAATAGATTTATTTGGCTTTCTAGCTAACTAGCAAACTAAATATCTATTTATTAATTAATGTTTTCTTAGCTGGATAGCTAGCAATGTATTTATCTATGTATAGCTATTTGATAGTTATTGGTCTTTTACGAGGATACTAATGTCCATGCTCAAAAACCAGCATTTTGCAATACATTATGGGCAAAATATATTCATATCTACTTATGGTTCTTTCACATCTAATGAACTTTTATTTGACGTTTGTGTATCTTCTTTACCATCACTGACTATGGCGTCTTTAACCCGACGATAAATCATTGAAGTTATTAACTTTGATGTTTTATCASCGGTGTTTTAATACAAACATTTGGACAAAAACACAAAATTTGAACTCTGACCATAAAACCAAGAAGTAGCTACGAATGTATTTGTGTATTTGGGTACTGGATTGGCTATTTATCTCTCTCTTTCGATACCCATTATATACGATGTTATATTTGTTGGATTAAATAATAATAAATGAAGCATATGAAYAATTAAATCCAACAATGGTCTTTCAACTTGTTGTGTCTGGTCATAAAGAACACAGTGTTCTCTATTGGACACAATATAAAAGAACTCTGACCGGCCTATTTTCTGTGACACTTCAGGATTGTTTATGCAAAAGGAAGAAAAAACTAAACCGGACCACAAACAAACCCAAAGCCCCCCGACTCAAGCATTACTCGTGTTGCTAATTTTAGTGTCTTTTCCTCCCGAGGTGTTAGTTAATCGTTTGGTCTGGATTTTACTGTTGTCCCTGAACAGATGTCACACCCTATAGTAGTTTTACGGTAAACACTGCTCATCGTAAACTGCCAGCGCTCAGCTCTGAGGTTCAGTCTGCCCAGGGAATTTAAAAATAGCTATTACCAATAAAAAAGAASTACTGGCTTAGCTTTGTTGAAGGAATGCATATCGCCCGTTGCCTCTCRTGCCACAGTTTTAAGATCATTTTGAGTTGAGAAATACTGCTCAGAGCATGTGTTGTTAATGACTCTCAGCTACTACCTGATGAAATTTTAGCTCCATATCTGTAAAACTGACTGAGTTACAGACATTTTTGGGGAGTTGGCTAATGTTGATTAACTGTGGCGGCCATCTTGGATTAGTTTTKAATGTACAGTTAATAGTTATCTTCATACAAAGTAATTAGATGATAATTTCTATAGGTTTTATTAAAAAGGAGTCCAGTGGTTCATGAGATATTTAGCTAACAGGCAGACTGAGTCAACTCCAACTTTTATTACTTAACTTTTGAGCAAAGATCTCATGCAATGAGCTAGCCCTTGGAAAATTAATTTGGAACGACTCTCAGCTACCATCACAACAAATTTGAGCACAATATTTGTAAAATTCACCGACTTATATCCATGTTTGTGTCTGATAAGTTCAGTTAGCTGTGGCGGCCAWCTTTAATTGAGTTAGCCCCAAATGTTTATCAGTTATAAATATCTGTCTAGAGATTATTTCCTGAAAGTTGCAATAAAATCTGCCCTGCGGTTCATGAAATATTTTGCTAACAGACACACACAGTTAACTGCTGATTGTTAATGGCACCACATAATTTCAAAGAGCTTGCTCGATCTAATAGTGCTCAGAGGATGTGCTGGGKATCACTCGCAGCTACTACCACACCAAATTTTAGTGAAATATTTTACAAATTCACTGACTTAACATGTTTGTGTTTGATAATATGAGCAGGCTGTGGCGGCCATCTTGAATCAAGATGGCCCCAAACGTTTATAAGTTTTAAAGGTACATCTACTGATTATTTCCTGAAGTGTTTTTTTTAAACATTCCCTGTGGTTCATGAGATATTTTGCTAACAGACAGATGATGTGTCAGTGCTCGGAGTATGTGTTGGGGATCAGTCTCAGCTACTACCACAACAAATTTTAGCTAAATATCTTAAGGAACTGTCTTACTTGCAGCTATGTTTGTGTTTTTTTTTTAATAAAGCTGGCTGTGGCGGCCATCTTGAATTATGTTGGTACCAAAAGTTTCAGTTTCAGAGGTACTTCTAGTGAATATTTCCTAAAGGTTTTATTACCTATGGTTCATGAACAGTCTCCTAATAAATAACAAATGTTAAAGATCTATAATTTGTTCGTGCTCAGAGTGTGTGTTAGGGATCACTCACAGCTACTACCACCCCAAAGTTTAGCTCAACATTTGTCCAATTCACTGACTTACAGCTATGTTTGTGTTTAATAAATTCAGGTGGCTGTGGCGGCCATCTTGAATCGTGCTGACTCCAAAAAGTTGGTCATTCCTTGATGTACATCCGGTCATTACTTCCTTTAAGTTTCATTAGATGTCGTCCAGTGGATCGTGACATATTTTGCTAACAGACACGTTATCGTCTAAAAGGAAAAGCGTGGATCTTGGTGTTTCGCCACTGACAGCTCCTTCAACAGGCCTCAGCAGAGCAGCAGTGACATAATTTGTGTTCGGGCCAGAAGTGGTTTCTAATAATAAAACCCCTTCCTGCTCCAACAATAACAGAGAGGAAACGACCTACCGAGCAGCAGCAGCCGATGTGTCTGTTTATACTCCCGTTTCAGCTCCCTCAGCGCCCTGTCAATGTTTTTACTGACTTTCTTCGCCTCCTTCTCGGCCTCCTTCTCCTCCACCAGCAGTTTGTCCCAGTTCTTCTGCTTCTGGTTGCCGGTTTTCTGCAGCAGCTGTAAGCGGCGGCCGCGCTCCTTCCCCGAGCCTTTACCTCCRCCGCCCCCGTTCTGTATCAACACACCGTCCGTGCCGGTTTCTCCGCGTCGGTTGTCCCTGGCGGGGTCCCCGGGGCGCAACAGGCCTCCTCCTCCTCCTCCGCCGCCGCCGCCGCGTAGCGACGAGGTCTCCCCGCTTCCCCCGGCGTCCTCCTGCTGGCGAGCCGCCCCGGCGCGAGCGGCCGCGGCGGKGTCCGGAGGCTGGTCCGAGTCCGAGGTGGCGTTGGAGATAGAGCCGCTCAGGTCCCCGAAGAGCCGGGGACGCAAACTGTAGCACAGCCCCATGTTGACACCAGTATTTCCCCGTGAATGTGATTTTTCATAAATCAAAATATCGGGAGAGGGAAACAAGGGAGGGGGTTTGGGGGTTGAAAAAAATAAAATAAAATAAAATAAAAAATAACCCGCAGATGAGATGCGCCAGCAGCCCCCCTAACGAGCCATCGTCGCACCGGAGCTCCAGCGACGCGATTTAGGTCCAAATCTGAGGCGAAAACCTGAATGAATCACGCTCCGACATTTGCTAAATGTCATTTTGCGTTCTCCCCAGTCAGCCTTCGCTTAGATAGTGGATCACCTGATCCTTTTAGTGGACACTGCGGGTCCACCTTACCGTAAGTCACCAAAAGCGCCGCCTTGGAGAAAAACAGGCACAGCGCTGAGAGACCAGAGTCTGTCTGTACGGTTCTTACAGAGACCAGAGTCTGTCTGTACGGTTCTTACAGAGACCAGAG